TTAAAAACTAAATCTTCTACAAAAGATGCAGTAATTAGAATATCTATCTATCTATCTATCTATCTATCTATCTATCTATTTTTATTTCTGTTTTTCTCTTTCTTTTTGTTTTAGTTTTTTTTGTGCAGGGTCTCACTATGCAGCTTGGATTTACAGTGATCTTCCTGTTTTCAGCCTCCCTAGTTCTGGGATTACAAGTGTGTACCACCATGCCCGGACTCCATATCAGGTTCAGCATGCCCAGGAGTGGGGGCAGGGCTGGCACAGCATGTGCTTCCAGGGGTTGAACCCTGGCCCCTGAGCTTACCTAAGCAAGTGCTGAGTCTGCTGAGCTATCTCTCTGGCCTTTTTTCTTTCTCTCTTTCTTCTCATCTTTTCTTTCTTTCTTTCTTTCTTTCTTTCTTTCTTTCTTTCTTTCTTTCTTTCTTTCTTTCTTTCTTTCTTCTTTCTTTTTTTTTTTTTTTTGGCAGAACCGGGGATTGAACTCAGGCCCCTGTGCGTACCAGGGGAGCACTCCTTTCATTGAGCCATCTCCCTGGCCCCTTCTTTCTTTCTTCTTTTAAAACAGTGTCTTGCTATAGATTAGGCTGGTCTTGAACTTACTATGTAGCCCAGGCTGGCCTTGGAGTCTCCATAATCCTCCTCCTGTACCTCCCAAGTGCTGCGATTCTAGGTTTGTACCAACATGATAGACTTATATGTTCTTTTAAAATTCGTTTTTGATTGTTTTCAATATCAGGAATTCATTCTGGGAATAAGTTATTAAAATGGACCTAAGTAAGATTATTTCTATGTCCAGAAAGAAATGTACTTTGTGTTATGGAGGTGAATGACAAGGGGGCAAATGTACATCAGATTATGTCAAGGATAGGCAGGTGGGGCTTTACATTTTATCTTCCCATTTCCCCTCTTCTCTGTTTTTCTCCACTAACATCACCAAGCTCATTTAGCTTCACCAGCTAACGGGAGCCCAGGAAGGCAGTGCATATAGTGTCCTCAAAACACACTGTCTTGTGTAAATAATTGTTTCTGGCAGTTTAGAGGTTTCATGCAGGACCACATTTTTTTTTTCTCTGAAAATCAAAAGTTTAGGCTAAAGTTAAAATTTCATGTGCATTTTTATAACTTGGCATACACAAATATTACAATTACATGTTTAAAAAAGGGAATTTGATCTTTTTTGCTCTTTCTTCTTTGGGCCTATACCTTTTCCTAGTTCAGTTGTTCTCTTTTACAGGACATTTTCATATCTTGATATCTCTTTGGCATCTGTTTCTCTTCAATTGCAATTTTTATTCAAAAATAATAACTCTTCGTTCTCTTTGGACATTTTTGTTTTACCCCCACCTGTGAACCTTACCAGGTGCACTGAAGGTTAACAGCTCCATTTCTGGAATTCTCTTGGATCCCTTTTGGAGAAAAGTGCCAAAGAATATAAGCGGGCTCAATGCATCCAGCCGTGCCAAGTCCTTTGAGGAAGCCCCACACGCTTCGCCTTCTGCCAACTCCCTTCTGGTCTTGCTGTGCCCAGCTTCTTGATGGTGCCACACAGGGACACACATCTTTTGTTTACATAAAAAGGGAACCTTTGGATGTAGGGAAGTGCCAGAGTACTTCATCTAAGAACACTCTCCTTGGCGCATGAACAGGTGAAATCGTTCCTCAGTTCACTGAGTTTTCTATCTCTTCGCCATTAACTGGAGTCTGAATGTTGCCAGTACTCATTTCAAGTGCTCCCAAGAACTGTGAGGAATAACCAGACTTGCTCAAAGAGCTTTTCCTGACATTACAGAAACAGTAAACATCCTATGAATAGCAAAATATTGCTGGAAGTGCTCCTTTGGAGGGCCCTTTAGCTGTGCAATGCCAAAGGGGCTTTGGGCCACAGGATCACATTGTTAGAATACTACCTTTTCCTGTAACATATAATGCTGTTTGTTGCAATTGTGAGCCTTTCTGTTGTAAGAGGCAGGAAACCCAGCCCGAGGAAGCTCAAGCAAAAGGACTATTGGCTTGAATCACTGAGAAGCTCAAAGGTGGAGTTGTCTACTTGTCTGGCTCTAATGGTGCATTCTTTCTGCAGAGGTATTGACTTTTTCTTTTCAATATTGGTTCATTTATAGACATCATTTAGGATACTTTCAGCAGGATATATTCCAAAGATAGGACCAAAGTGGGTAGGCTGCAGAACCTGTATTGTCTCAGTTTCACTTGTACAAAGTGCTTTAAGCCAGTCATTCATTAATGAAGGGTTAGCTTAGATTTCCTGTCTGTCTAGAAAAAAAGCAGCCCTGGAAATTCTGTGTTTTTTTTCATCAAGCTCTTGCAAAAGCCTCAGTGTGCTCTGTTGCCATTGATGCTGCCTGGAAATAAAATCAAGACTACATCAAGTAATTTTCCTTCCTTTCTGCAACCACATGCTTCACAGGAAGCTAAACTTAGGCCCAGCTTTTGCACTAAATTCTCATTCACTTAGGACCCGAAGGGTGATTCCTTTCCTCTTAAATATGGATTACAACAATAACAGCAACAACAAAAACTAAAAAGTTGAGTGACAGAATTTTGATTAAGGAAGAGTAAAAGGAAGTAGACTAAAGGCTTTAGGAACTATCTCTTAAAAGGAGCACTAAAGAAGAGATACTGTTTAGATATGATGCCACCTTCTGTAGCAGGAAGGACTCATCCCATTTGAGTTCATGGACTAAGAGTGGAGGAACGGGAACAACTTCTGAAATATGGTAGTATGGTCTTCACAAAACAGTGAAATAAATGCTGCACAGAAAATAAAAAGAGGTGTCCTGTCCTTGGTGCTTTTGAATGAACCTCGTATTATACAGTGGCCTCAAATTGGGAGAGGATAGGAAGTATGCAATTTGTTTCTTGGTCTGGTATGTATGCACATGTAACTTTGAAGGTGTTTAGGATTAATGACAGAGATGCTGCTCTATTATCTCATCTCAGGAGAGTATAATTTTCCTGTCAGGAGTCTCATTGCTGGCTTTGTGTCATAAGTCATTTTGAGATCACAGCAAAGAAGAGTATGACGCATGACCAAGGCAGATAAAGCGTGGAATTGTTAGGTGATCTAGTGGCTCTTAAGGACACTGGAACAAGGTCATTATATAATCGGCATCTATCTTCCCACAAGACCCATGGTTTTCTGTCCCTCAGCTCTCATAAGCCATAAAGCTTGGTTGGTTTCATGGCTCTCAGAATCAGCCTGCTATGTAGAAGAGAGGTCTTGGGTCAGGCTCTGTCTAGTGATTTCAGTTTTTCTCTTGGCTGGAATTCCACCTGTCAAGAAAGTTTTGCAGTCAGCCATCTGATAGCGGAAGGGTTAGTCCATGAAACTGGATTTCCTGTGTGTCTGGAAAGAGCAACAGCCCTGGAGATCTGATATGTTTTGTGAAAATTAGGGGTTAGTTTTTGCTATTCCCAGTTAGTCTCTGCTGAGCCTAATATACTTGAACATTTGAGGATTAAAAAAATAAATAAATAAGGCAGAATTTCTGTATTTTTATGAACTTAAGTAACTTCATAGCAAGAGAATCTAATCAACATTAAACTATTTACTACCCTCCAAAGTAATTTCCTCTTTGTCAATGCAGAGACATGCATTTTTACTTAGTTATAATTAGTGTGAACATACTCATTTTTGCTTAAGAAAGGTCTTCTTTATCTTGGCATTCAGATTTGTTTTCGTAGGTGAAGAAAACACTGAGGAGAAGGAACCTTTGCTGGAAGGTGGGTAGAATCATACAGGGTCATACTATTCCAGAATTAAAGAAACCTTAGTGGAGCCCACATCCTTTCTCCTGTATTTTAGGATTTTCATTCTGCCTTTCTGGGCACACTGGAGCGGCTTCTCCCTTGAAAGTCTTCTCCCTTAGTTTCCAGATCTAACTGCAGGACTTCTTCCAAAGGGAGAATAAAATCTGCCCTCTAGGCTGCCCGGCCCCACCCCCTTATCACACACCTGCTTTCTGAATCCTGGCCTCTGCTTTACTAAGTGGTTTTCCTTGTAGGGGGAAGGCAGAAGCGATGAGGGCACACTTCTATAGTTCATACTATACCCTACACCCCTCAGATGTTTTCTTTTCTTAAGCACAAGTGTACAGTGATGGTTTCTAACCAATCAAAGCATAAAATTGCCTGTCTTTCCTCCCAAGTTAAGGAAGTAGCCATAACAGGCTTAATTAAAAACAGCAACTATTTGTATAGTTGTCTCTGGGCCCATGGCTCATAAAAGGATTTCATTTCAACCTTGCTGTCAGAGTTCTTCCGGAGTTTCACATAAAACCATGAAACTCCTCACTCGGGCGGTGCCAGGCCTGCGCTTCAGTGGCAGGTCACACCTGCCTTGAGATAATGTTACTTTGACAGCCAGGCTACAGGTGCAGCAGGGCAGGTCGCAAAGCCCAAATGGTAGAACTCTGAAACACACAAGTCCACCTTCTTTTGTGTGCAAGGATGTCAGGCCTAAGACTATTCCAGGAAGTTCCTGAAATCACCCCCTAGAGTTAGGAAGGAGAAGGAAGAGAAATGGGCACTGTTTCCCCTTTTCTAGTGTTTCAGGGCTCTTCTCACTTTTGCTGCTGCGAGAGCCTGTCAACCCTAACCTAGGAATAAACTTCCTTCAGAGGGGAATGGGGAGGGGAAATCCTGCTGCGGGATGCATCCGTACAAAGCAGCATGCTTCCCCAGCAAAGCCCCAGAGAGAAGGAAGATCAGTGCTCAGCGTTTGGCTGATATTCAAGTGCACACCAAGCAGCTCTCCAGGCAGCTTTGGGTCAGAACAAGCCTATTCGAACTTGGAACGAATGAAGGGGACAGTGCGGGTCACTGACTGCGGGCCGGAGGCGGGGCTCGCCACACATGCGGAGAAACGCCGAGGCGCTGGAGCCGCAAGTTAGGAAATGTAACCCTGGCGACCCCCAAAAGCCCCCGCCTCCCTTCTGCTCCACCTGCTTGCCGAGCGCATTGAGCCGCCAACCCAGGCGATGACCAGCCCCGCTCCCTTAGTCGCCTCCATCAGCCACCAATTGGTGGCTCTACAGACCCTGCAGCTGCTGCAGCAGGAGTGGGGTTGGGGCGACGGTCCGGGAGCCCCAGGAAGCCCGCGAGACACGGACCACGTGCCCACCGCTGCACCCAGTAGCTCAGGTCCTATGCGGGCCCTGCGGCAGCCAGAACCCGAGGAGGAGGGCAGAGATGTGGGAGCCACGAATGGGGGTGCCCCGGAACAGACGGGCTCCCCCGAAGTGGAAGGGGTGCGGGGCGCCGAGAGCGGTGCGGAGCTGCTGCCCTTTCCCCGGGAACGTGGGCCCTGCCCCCTGGCGCGTATGGCGATGCGCAGCGCACTGGCTCGGGTGGTGGACTCGACCTCGGAGCTGGTCAGTGTGGAGCAGACGCTGCTGGGGCCTCTCCAGCAGGAGCGGTCCTTCCCCATCCACTTGAAGGTGAGTTGAGCCCTTCCGCCCCCTTGGACAAGCAGGGCAGGGCTGCAGGGGCAGGATGGAAATGGGGTGGGGCTGCGGAAGCCATAAGGGGGCTACCCACTGAGATTCCATCAAAGGAGGAGCAGAGATGAGACAGTCTGGGGGCTCAGCAGGCCAGCTGGGAATCGGAGCTCTAGACCGACCTAGAGCCCTCCTAATTCCAGAACCCAGACTCAGGCGAGGCCTTGTCAGAACCTTCCTTTGGAACTACTTCCTTTTGCAGAATTCTGCTTGCTGCTGTAGCTGAAGGGCCTTTCCACACGTGCGACTTCCAGGGATGGAGGGCAGCTCCCTGGACCCTCATTCCAAACGAAAAACCTTTTCTTCAGAGCCTTGAGTGTGCTTTGTAAGGCAGTTTTGACTTTTGCATGATGAAATCATTTAGGTTTAGTTAACATTTCTTCACTTTTCTGAATCAATTTTTTCTGCATAAATCCAGTTCCCCAGAGAGTGCAGGAGTCTTACAGAGCCAACCTAAATTCTCATAGTCAGCTGAAAGGAGGGTGGAGCCCAGGTGTTGAAGTGTGAATACTAATAGGAACTCCTGCTAAGTCACCCAGTTCCTCTTGGGTACCAGAGAGTGTTAGCCAGGAAAGAGAGCAGAGTGGGGTCACGGAAGTGGGAAATCTGAGGGCTAATCCTGGCCTTGCCACTAACCAGTGTAACTGGTTTAAGTTCGCAAATCTCTTTCAGACCTTCTGACTTTTAAGTTTTGACCTGAAATATTGCTGTATTCATGTATTTTAGAGAAGGAAGTCGAGGGGTAGGGGGAACGGTATGGGAGAAGGTTTGGAGCAATTCTTGAGTAACTATTCTTGATCTTCACATCAAGGTTTGTGCAAATTACTACATACTAAGTTTCACTATACACTATAAAAGGTACATTTAAAACCAGGCATAATAAAGCATATTATGTGCCCAAATAAATATTGTCTGTCTACACTCGGTTTCTGGGCACCACTGACATTTTGTGCCAGGCAAATTTTATTGTATTGTAATGTAGAATGCTTAGTAGTATCCCTGGCCTCGGGCCTTTGGGTACCAGTCACTACATTCCCACCTCAAGTTGATAGAACCAGAAATGTTTCCAGACATTGCCAAACAGGGGTAGTGGTGGAGCCAGAAGCCAAGATTGAGACCATATCCAGGTGAGAAGCATCACTACAGTTACCTTAGGAACTTAAAAAGTGAAATTACATTTTTCCAGTAATGTCCAGGGTTGATGAATTTTGTTGTTGCCAAGACACTTAAAAAGCACTGTCCATTAAGCTATGGCTCACTGCTGATTATAAATTACATCCTAATTTCATGTTTGTTTTAAGATGTGAGAAAACATGCACCTTAGAATTGATGAAATATGGAGCTATGAGCAGTTAGGAGTATATACGGGGCATAGATCCATTGACAAAAGGAGAGTGAACAAAGTTTTACCTCAGGTTAACCTGGAAGGCTTCTTGGAGGAAGCAGCCATTTAAAAAATGTGCATTTGCTCTCCATACATTAAAGGGAAATGACAGTTCATAATTGTGATCTAAGATCAAAGGGCATTGACATAGCCTGGGGCTCTGAATGTACTGTAATGTGTTCAGTATAGCAAGTAACAAAAATGGTGCTTGAGAATTAAGTGTAGGCAGATGGGGAAAGGCTTGCAGGGCATGCTAAGAACCTTGGATTGTCCTGCAAGTCCAGGATAGATAAAACATAGAAGCCCAGATAACTTGCAGAAAACAAGGCTTCAGTCTAGTCAGATCAAAAGACCACTGCCTAAGGGCCTGCCTCAACTCTGGCAGTCAAGTAAACTTCAGGATCTCTGCTTCAGAGGCAGTTTCCTAATAATCGTTAAAGTTGAACCTATGTCGTTAGAGGTTAATGCAGCGGTCACCTGTGTTTCATGATCCATTTAACCAGTTCTAATTGACTTTTTGGTCTTAAACACTTTCTATCCTTCTTTTGGCTTTCTTCATCTAAATCTCAACTTCACATTTCTTTTGTGACAAAACTGAGCCCATCTGACACAACTTGACTTCTGCTTTCCCTGCAGTGTTTCCATTCATCATTATTCTTGAATAAATGAATAATAAATGCCCCCCATGTGCATTCTTTCTACAGGCAGGTGAGTAAATCCTTCTCATCCTCCAGACACTTGTCTGTCTATCCTTTCCTCTGTCTTTATGCAGTAATTCTCCTCTATCCTTGGGAGACATGTTCCAAGACCCCCAATGGATAGCTGAGGATACTACTAAACCTTATACAATGGTACCTTGGTTCAACCCATGCAGGTGCCAGCAGCATTGTGGAATGAATTCTGCAACCTGAATCATGGAAAGAATTAAGTTTATGAACTGATGTATGACTGTATTTACTATGTTTATTCCTACACATGCTTACCAGAGATAAGGTCTAGCTTATAAATTAGGTGCAGAAAGAGATTCATAAACACTAATAGTAAAACAGACAAATATAACAATATACTGTAATAAAATTTATGTGAATGTGGCTTTTCTTCCTATCAAAACATGTAATTGTGTTGTACTTACCCTTGTGATAATGCGAAGTGATTCACTGTCTATACGATGAAATGAAGTGAGATGAACGATGCAGGAATTGTGATATTCTACTTTGCTACAGAGGAGGGTTTTCTGAACACAAGCACTGCTTTACTTTGACAGCCAATCTGATAACCAAGGTGGCTCCTAAGGGACTAGCAGGAGATATCTGATGTGCAGCATGAACCGCTGGACAAAGAGGTGATTCACATCCTGAAAGGGGTGTAATTGACAGCACAAGATTTCATCATATGACTCAACTATGCACAGTTTAAATCTTATGAATTGTTTATTTCTGGACAGTGGACATATCTTCAGGCCATGGATAAACACAGGTAAATAGAAGTGGAAAAGTAAAGGCATACCATTGCATTTTTTACGATTCCACTCAGTCCATAAGAAGGCTCAAAGCTCTCCTGACCCATTCATTCCCTTGAAGTATAGTCCTTTCCTTTTCTGTCTTGCACAGTTCTTCAGACTTCTGTATGTGTTGTTGCCACTTTCTAGAAGAGTCTAGGGAGCTCATAACAACAGGGACCCTTGGTAATTCTGCTGCTGGAGTCTCCTGCCCACCTACAGTACCGTGATGTATTTCAAGGCTGCTTAGAACAGCCAGTGTTTTCAGAAGGGAGAAGAGTGTGGAGCAGCCAGCATCTGTGAATCTATATGGTGTGCCATTGGGGGGAAGGCAGTATCTCACTATGTGGTGGATAAATTAATGATCATGAAGCATTTAGACGTGAGACAGCATTCTGTCTTTCTCTGGGATGATTATATGTGCTTAGCTTCATTAACAACATTAATTAAAATGATTTGGAAAGGTATTTTCTATAGTTTAATATTAATGTGCAAGCTGGTTTTCTCCAAGAGAATGCTTTCAGGAGGAAGTCTGCTCATGGAAAGGACTCTAGTGTATCACTTTGAGCATGTGGAGACCTCTCTAACAGCTGATCTCTTTGGTGGTGTTACATCATAAGCTGGTGTATTAACTCCACTGCTATAATGAAATATTGTACATTGAGTGGCTTAGATAACAGGTATTTTTTTTTCTGTTGTAGAGGCTAGAAGTCCAGGTTCAAAGTGCTGACAAATTTGGTTTCTCATAAGGGCCTTCTTCTAGCTTATAGGTAGACACTTTTTCCCTTTTCTCCCATGGCCTTTTATTGGGCCTGTTCAGAGAACTCTCTGGTATCCCTTCTTATACAAGATTAAGTTCCATGACAGGACCTCTCTTCTCCTTATCTTCCTAAAGGCCCAATCTCCCAAGATAGTCACATGGAGGATTACAGTTTCAACATAGGACCTTCTGGGGTAAGCCAGCCACAATTCAATTCCTAACACTGGGTGATTTGTGTGTCTCCTCTTATAATGGCTACCTTACATGGTGACAAAAAGCACTAGGTAAACTCAGGAAATCATCATTAAGCTAGTAATATTTGCTCCCCAACAGGGGCACAGAAAGGTGAAGGACACTAGAAGGAAACTCATTTAGGATTTTTTTGAATCACTGAAAATGACCAATTTACATAAGGACCATTAGCCAAGCCAATTATACAGTTATTCTGATTGAGTTTGGTTGATCTTCCTTAGAGAATTAAAAACATTTATAGTTTCCAGAATTCTGTTCTGAAGCAAATTGCACAGACATGATGACTGACACCACCTTTCCGAGGCAGAAGAACTTTCTGGCTCTTGTGGATTAAACTTGTCTGTGAGCTCACCCGTTTCACTTAGCTTATTCTGGTACCAATGCTTCTGTCACGGTCAGTTGTCAGGTCTGTTTTTCTCATTCTGGTGAGCAAGAGAAAAAGTCATAAAGCTGTTGGCATTGACATCCCAGTCATTTCTAACGCTCTTTGCAAGCTCCAAGTATTGTTGTTCAGGGGAAGATAGTGAGAATGAGGGCTTTATTTTCTCTGTTAACATTAGTGAAGCTAGTTTTTATAAATTTGGGGATCGTGTCTTCCAAAATTACCAATATGGTATGTGAGAAATAAATACTGGTTATTATAAGTATCTAATAGTTGGGGAATTGCTTATTATTTGGGAAAAAATTGTGCTTTCATGGTCCAGTGACTTGAATTTCTGTTGTCTGCTGCACACAATGGATATGGTGGTGGCTCTATACTTTTGTAACATTCTATAATGTGAATAATATGGAAGTCAGGATACTCAAGTTTTCTGAAATGAAAATTTGGGGAAGGAGATTTCAGGAAAGCCCTAAGACAAAGCTACTTACGTTTGCCAACTTGGTAGAAATGCTGAAACATTTTATTTTATTTTAGTTTAGCTTTTGGGTCTGTCTTGTTAGCATCCCTGAATCAAGTGTTTGTGCTCTTCACAAAAAGCTTTTCAGTGGATTTTTCAACTGAAAATGGTGCCATACCCAAAGCAAATGCATAAGGAAGCTTAGTT